CTCCAAGGAGTAGCTTGGTTTAATCCTCTCCAAGATGAATCTGTTTGTTTTCCTGGCAGTCCATGGTACATTCAGTACTCTTCTCCAGCACCACAACTCAAAAGCATCCACTCTCCTTCTGTCCTCCCTAGTCATTGTCCAACTCTCTGATGCATAACAAGTGATTACAAATACCATGGCCTGTATCAGGCACACCTTAGTCTCCAGAGAGACACTGTTGCTCCTGAGTACTTTAGAGAGGTCCCTCACAGCAGACTTTCCCATCGCGATATGTTTTTTGATTTCCTGACTGCTGGTGCCAAGAGTGTTGACTGTGGAGCCGAGCAAACTGAAGCTGTCAACAATCTCAATCTCTTCATCATCCATCCTGATGCTACCAATTGGTCCAGTGGTGAGAATCTTTGTCTTCTAGGCAAGAAAAACTATCACAGCAGTGACACGGAAGCAGACTACCTCAAAGCCTACAAAACCAAAGCAAGATGCCATCCTCAAAATGTGATTAAAACACAGAATCACTGGATTTCCTGAAGACAGAATGTCTGATGGAGCTTTTTGACACATAATTTAAAAGAACATTGAATATTTTCAATGGGTGAAAGACAAACTGGACAAATTGCAAGATTCTACAAGCAAAAACCAATAGGAACTTTTAAAAAAGCAATCAAGACAATGCACATAAACCAAAGGAGGCATAAGAAACTCCAGAAGAATGAGAAACTACAATCCAGAATATGAAAACCAGTGTCTTAGAAGCTGTCAACATGTTGGAGGGACAGATGAGCAGAACTGAAGTGACGAAGCATAGATTCAGCAAAATAGAAGATAGGGTTCTCAGTACTGATCGGCTAAAGCATAAAGCAGAATTAAAAAGGTAAATGAAGAAAGCCTGAGAATGATGTGGGACACCATCAAGAGGAATAACATGTGCATAATTGGAATATCAGAACAAGAAGCAAAAAAAGGCACTGAGAAAGTTGTGCTAGAAAAAACTTTCCAGGTAGAATGAAGAATGAGAGAGTATGCATAGTAGAAGTTGAGCAAACACCATATAGAGTAGAACCCAAAGAACACACCAAGACATAGCACAGTCAGTTTTGCCAGAACTAAGGATAAGGGGAGAATTCTGGAAGCAGCCAGCGAGAAATGAAGAGTAACTTATAAGCGAGAGCAAATAAGATTAAGTGCCAATCTCTCAGCAGAAACCATGTGAGCAAGAAGATGGTGGAATGACAGATATCAAACACTCAACACAACTGTCCACCAAGAATACTGTACCCAGAACTGTCCATCAGTTATGATGAAGAGATCAAGATATATTCAGAAAAGCAGAAACTAAGAGAGTTTGTAAAAATGAGGCCAGAATTGCACCAAGTACTAGAGATGCCACAAAAAGAAGGATGAGTAAAAAAAAAATATAAAAAAAAAGAAGGATGAATCAAAGTAACTAGCAACATCATAAAAAAAAAACAACACTTCAACAAAATGATAGCAAAACCTCACCTCTCAATAATTACACTGAATGTGAATGGTTTAAATGCACTGGTGAAGGGAAAAAAGTATCAGATTGGATAAAAAACCAAAAGCCATCAATATGCTGTCTACAAGAGACACACCTGAAAAGTGAAGATGAAGATAGACTAAAAAGGAAAGGGTGAAAAAAAAATATACCAAGCAAATGGCACTTAGAAAAAAAAAGGATTAATCTCTGATAAAATAGATTTCACCATAAAAACCATCATAAAGGACAAGGAAGGTCACTATATAATGCTTAAAGGGTCAACAGAACATGAGGACATAACCATAATAAATATCTACACATCAAATTATTGTTATTGTGTACTGTCGAGTTGGAACCTACCCATAGCTAACCCTCTCACTGGTTTTCAGAGGCAGTTAATCATATGGGAGGAAATTGTCTATCCTTCTCCCACAGAGCAGCTGGTGGCCTCAAACAGCCAGCCTTCGGGATTACAGTGAGGCATCTTGCCACTAAGCCACCACAGCTCCCATTATAGTACCATTAAAAGTAGCCATTTTAACTGCACTTCCCAAACCCCTAACTTCTTACAAAATCTCACATATCCATGAGTCTGGAGCTGTTGCATCATACATGGTTTCTGACACCAAATGTTTGGATAATTTGTTCTGCTAAGATTAGTAGCATGTCAGTTATAACAAGTGTGTCAAAGTTGTCCAAAATGCTTGACCTGCAGTGTAAGTCCATGATTTCTTACATCAATAGTTCCTCTTTTAAGTCAAATAATAGAGCTGCAAAATACATAAAGAAAATGTTAACAGAACTGGAAAAAAGGAACTAGACAACACCACAATAGTAGTTGTTATGTACCTGTGATTCATAATGACCCTATGTACAATAGCTCTGAACTCTGCCCTATCTTAAGCCAATTTCATT